TACTGGCAGCTGTGGTTGCCAGAATTTCACCGTGGAAAATATAGTGATAATGCAGAATACATAACGGTATATTTGTTGATACATGTAAAATTCACAGTGAACTTTGGTTTTTGTACAATTATTACATTGAAATAAAAAACTATTATAAAGTAAACCAGTTAAAATACATTTTAATAAGCTTGTTTACCGTCTCCTATTGACAAAACACAGAAGAACTGTATAATACAAAACATGCCTTTTTATTCAAAAGTTCATATTTACATGAAATTATTGGCAGCTGTTGCAGCCAGAATGTGGTCTAAAAAGATTAAGGTCCAACAAATGAGGTAATAAACATAATAGGGCTAATAGGCATAAAACTTACATTCTTTGACTTTTTGTCATAATTTGCTAGAAACATTAATAAAAACCAGTAGAGACAATGATTAAATTAAACAGTTAATATCCATCCGCTTATCCTTTTTCAGGGTTGTGCTGGAGCCTATCCCAGCTTTCATAGGGCGAGAGGCGGAGTACACCCTAGACAGGTTGCCAGTCTGTCACAGGGATAACACACAGGGACAGACAACCATTCGCACTCACATTTACACCTATGCAATTTGGATTAATCAATTAACCATGCAAACACCACAAAGAAAGACACTGGCCTGATGGTGGAATTGAACTCAGGACCTTCTTGCAACAGCAACAGTGCTAACCACCGTGCTACCATGCTGCCCTAAACAGTTTATATTTAATAATCAAATTAATGACTAAAAAGGCACTGATCTAATTAATATCAAACTTAATACAACCAAAAACAAATAAGTACATAATAAACAGTCAAACAAAATTTAAAACACTTGATACTTGCAGTGGTTGGCAAAGTTTCTTTTTATCCAGATTGATAGTAGAGGGCTTTCAAAACAGTCTCTGACGGTGTCTGAGGAACTGGAACAGGTTTTGGATCCAATGTGCTGGAGCACTTGCATGTTGTTCTTCAGATGCTCGGTGTACATTAGCGTTCTTTCCTTGCAGTCTGAAAGCAAATACAAAGCACAATAAAGCAAACTGCCCATTTCAAAAGCAAATATACAATCTTACATCTAATAGAGCTGACACAATTAATCGTGTAATGATTTACAATTGTGATGCATTGCAATGCGGACATAAAGCATTCTTAATCCATTCAGAAGAAACTAATTGATTATTAAATACGGTCCCGATCAAAAGTTTAAGACCACTTGAAAAATGGCAAAAAATCATCTTTTGCATGGTTGGATCTTAACAAGGTTCCAACAACATGCAACAAGCAGAAATGGGAGGTAGACAAAACATTTAACTTACATTTCACAAACTTAAACTGGGACAGGCTGTTTTACAGCTGATCAAATGTTTAGGACCACATGCCTTTAAAAGGCCAAATCTGTGCAAAACTGTGGATTCATTGTCATTTTCTGTCAGGTAGTCAGACTGTCAGGATGTTCTGATGGCAAAAGCAAAGAAAAATTTCCTTTTTGGACACGGTCGGCTTGTTGAACTGCATAAGTAGGGTCGCTCACAGCGCGCCATCGCTGCTGAGGTGGGATGCAGTTAAGACGGTCATTTCCTAACTAATCCTGGGGGTTATGGAACAAAAACATGAAGTGGAAGACCTAAAAAATCCTCAACCCAAATTAAGGCCATTAGTGGTGAAGAGCTTCAAAAAAAATTCTCTGATGAGAAAAAAATATAACCTTTTTTTTTCTCCTGTGAAAAAATGCAACCTTGATGGTCCTGGTGGCTTCCAACCTTACTGGCACGACAAGCACATCCCACCTGAGATGTTTTCTACGCCCTACAGACGAGGGGGTGCCACAATGGTTGGGGAGATGCTTTTTCCTTCAGTGGAACAATGGAGCTTCAGGAGGTGCAGGAGTGTCCAAAGGCTGCTGGCTATGTCCAGATGATGCAGAGAGCATTCCTCATGACTGAGGGCCCTCATCTGTGTGGTAACGACTGGGTGTTTCAACAGGACAACGCTACGGTACACAATGCCCGTAGGACAAGGGACTTCTTCCAGGAGAATAACATCACTCTTTTGGACCATCCTGTGTTTTTCCCTCCATCCAACCTCCTTCCCTATATCCAACTGAGAATGGACAACAGTTCCAGACAGTAGACACCCTTCGTGTGGCCGTCTTCACCACTTGGAGAAATGTTCCCACTCACCGAAACGCTTGCATGAAGTGATCAACAATAACAGCGGACCAATTAATTATTGAGTTCAAGTTTGGAACTTTCTGTTTTGGGGGTTTACCCATGTTTTTTGGAGGTGTGGTCCTAAACATTTGATCAGCTGTAAAACAGCCTGTTTCAGTTTAAGCGTTGTTTTTAATAAATTGCATGCTCAAAAAATGTTTTGCCTTACTCCTATTTCTTCTTGTTGCATGTTGAAGCTCTACTTGGAACCTTGTTAAGATCCAACCATGCAAAATATGATTTTTTGCCATTTTTCAAATGATCTAAAACTTTTGATCAGGACTGCTGTTATTTTTAGGTTGTACAATTTGTTTTCGTCAGCCACATACATCACAGTGGACCAACACGTGCAGCCTGTGTTCAGACAAGTTTTGAGCAATAAAAAAAAGTAGCTTATATGTAACCTCCTTTATTTGTTGATGAAAAGAAAAAACTGAAATGAAGTTATCATGATGCATTGGGAAAAATATATATTTTTCGGCGCAAAATGTCTTTAGTTTTCTAATAAAATCTCTGTTACTGAGCCTCACAGGTCCTTTTCTTCTGCTGTTGTGCATCACATGCCAGCAGTGCCTTCACACATGCACGATTTATCTGCAGTCTGGATGCAGTGGGGTAAAAGTCATCTGTTCCATCTTCCACTCTGTCACCAATTATGAGAGGCAACAGCCTTAAAAAGTTCCAGTTTTGTTTGTGCTGAGAATTTGTTGAGGACTGACCTCACACGGCTTTGAAGAGGTATCAGAGTCGGAGTATTTAAACTGTTTAATGCTCCAATTCAGAATGGAGTCGGCGAACCATTCTTTTTCTTCACAAAAAAATTTAAGAAACAGCGCAACATCATGTGACAAAATGCCATAAAAATCTTGTGTCCTAAACAAAATGGCAAACCTGGCTGACAAATGTGAAAATATTTTAAACAGTTGAAAACTGACTCAAACTTTACTCCTCCTATATCTGGTGTACCTTCAGTCTTGAGGTGTTCAACAGGAGAGTTGTACATCTCTGTGGTGCATTCTGCTCCACACTAGGACCACCCTGAAAAACAGATTGCATCATTAAACAATATCTACAGAAATGATGTGTACGACTAAAGCAGAAGCCACCAGTGCAATGTGAGCCCAAATTATCTACAGCATGCAAAACATGGTCCCTTTAACTACAGTTTTATCTATTTATTTCCATAACCTAAAGGATTAACAACTTCAAAGGCATCTTGGTATAGCAGTAGTTTGAAACATAATGGATTTTGGTTTAAAAAAAAAAAAAGAACTACTTTGAATATCTTACCATCTCTAATGTCACACAGTACATCTGATGAAGACTCAGCTGATTGCTCACCTGTTACACATATGTGGATCCCTTGACCGCCTCACAAAGCTTGGAAATACCCTCATCAGATAATGTTGTTTCAGTTTTAAGACATGTAGTGAACTTATTCAGAGTATATGACTCATATATTTTTTTAAAATTTCCTCATCGATCTTTTATTCTAATAAACCCAAATTACGGGAACACCTTTAGATCTGTTCAGTTTTATTTATTTTATTTTTATTTTATTTTCATTTAGAACCGCTTAACTGTCAAAAACTCATCTCTATTGCTTCAAATTGCAAGGTAGAGGTCCTACAGTGTTAATCTAGGATAAATGTTGTCTCGGCTTCATTGATGACATAAATGTCATTTGGTATTTGGCCAGAAGTGACTCTAGACATGATTCGACAGACAAGAATTTAAACCACAACTTAACAATTTGGCTGATGCAAAGAACCACGAGGCAGTGATTCCAGCTTAAATGTATTCTGGATTTTGTTAAATATTCTTACATTTTTTGTTAATGTTTGCCAGCTATCCTGTTTAATATTCCCTTTTCCCCTGTGTGTTTTGTTCAGTTTTGGTTCCCCTGTCTCTTTAATCTGTGATTAGTTTCAGCTGTCTTCCCACCTGTTGTTCCATTGCTACATCTGTGTCAGTCTCCCTTTATCCTTTGTTGTGTGTTTTGAGGCCTATGTTCACCTCCAAAACCCAATAGAGAAGCCTCTGTTTCACAACCAGTAGATTAGAAGCTTTTATACGGTATTTAATTTTTAAATTAACAATTTTATTCAGAATAAACATGAAAAAGATTATTGTTTCATTGTATTTAAGTAACTCTGTCATGGT